CCATAAACATAGTTCACTAAGCTCTACCAAATGCGCTAAGTCTCGACTAAAAATCGCTCCAACACCTGGGAATGTTCCCTCGTTAGATATAGCAGACTAGCTAATCGAATTGAGACCTTTGCATGAACAAAGACTCAGATCGAAATGCAATACTACGAATTTATTGCAGAAGTGGAAATGACCGAGGAGAAAATTCACTAAAAGTTTAATTAATATTTCTATCAAATTGTAAAATAACAACGAACCTTTTAGCAGATTTTCGAGTCGCACAATCTCCTACTATTTCGTAGTATATGAGCTTAAAAGTATCTCGAATTCCTCGTCGGAAACATTTTTCAGTGATTGCAAAAGGCAAAAAAAAGCGATATTTGTCCAGTGAAGAGAAAAAGGATACTTCAAAGCACGTCTGTTGATAGTTCTCAAATTAAAAAAATACTTTGAAGTTACGTCTATCGCTAAGAAAAAATTAACCCAATTGGTTCAGGCAGAGTGGAGATGTTAAATTTTTGAATCGTAGAGTTATTTATGGAACACCATGCAGTTTTCTCATATTCATCGAAGAAAAATTCGTAAATCAATCAAAGAGTAGAACCATTTCTCTCTCTAGGTACATTTTCAACAAGTGATATTCCGACTCCTAGTTTCAAAAGTCGGGGAAAGTTTTTTGCATATGCATGATGTAGGGAAGCGGTGGCAGATTCTGTATCTCCGATTGGAAGATACGCTTCACCCTCGCTCATGTAGCAAAATGTTTGAAACAGAGTTTTTTCAAAAAAAAAAAAAAAAAAGGAAAAATATATTTTTTAACTTGCAAAATGTGATAAAGAAAAGAAAAAGAGTTTCGTGTCAAGAAGGTCTTAGGCGAGTCAAAGAATATCATCTATTATGACAATGAAAATATTTTCTAAAGGAGTTTGCATCTTATAGCAAATAATCAATAAAAAGTGACACTCTAACCTGCAGATTTCTGAAAGATTTGTTCAATGTGCGCTGAAATTCTGCTGTGCACTCTATTTTGTCTGTTCACAGTGTCATTTTTTTTAACAAAAGTCACAGACATTAGTCCATACAACGACAAACAATATGTCCTGCATCACAGCAAGCGCGTGTATCTAATCCTCCTATTCGATAATCAACTTCTGTGCGTGGTGTTGAGGCAATATTTTTTAATTTTGCTTGTAATGCTTGATCAATTGCATCGTGAACTGATTGCGAAGCCACTATTGGAGTTGATTCAGCTAAATCACGGCTAAAATAAAAAATTAGTAGTGGCTTACGAGAAATGATTAAACCTTCTTTACCACCACATGCTCCGTCGATCGCAGGATATATCATATAATAAGCTTTATACTGGTTATAACGAACTGCTGTAAGTATGCCAAACATATCTGGATGAAATAGAAGTTCATGACCCTGGTCGGAACCATCAAAAAGCGCCGGACTCAGATCAATTCCATCAAAGCTACGATTTGACGAAAATTAGCAAGATTAGCAAGAGTTGACATCATATCCAAGTGTGACCCAATGGCATTAGAGACGGTGCCCGGTTTGATCATACCCGGCCAATGTGCAATGAATGGAACACGATGTCCTGACTCCCATGTTGTGAATTTTGCTATCCTCCCTTCTCCACCTCCAGAAGGTAGTGGTAACGCTTGCCAAGCACCTGTAAATGGTCCTGGATTTCCTGCTAAATCGCATTTTGATGACCATGGTCCATTGTCACTGGTAAATATCAACAATATTTCGTTTAAAATACCTAAATCTTTTAACAGTTGATATGTTTGATTGACATGACAATCTAATTCTCGTAGTGCATCACCGTAAATACTCTGCAAAGCACTTGTATCTTTGAATTGTTGTGCATAATCATGCAGTACGTGCATGTGTGACAATGGCAGATATAGAAAGAATGGTTGCTTTGCTTTTACACTACGTTGAATAAATCGTCGATCATTATCAATATACGATTGTGTTAAAGTTGAAAGATTAACTGGCTGTTCAATAATTTCTTTATTACAGTTATCATTCTGACATCGAGGTGTAAGACATTGATACAGCGGTATACCAACTGTTAAATCAACTTCAATAACTCTTCTTAGATCATCAGCATGTTCATGTTTTTGTTCAAAATAAAATGGCGCATCTTTAGGACAAACTTTTACCTGGTGGATAATTAGTTCCAGAATTATCTGTGCAACTCATATCAATGCTATATGGAACACCGATATACTCATCGAATCCTCGGTATGAAGGATGAAATGGAGGTTGATGTCCAAGATGTCATTTACCATGAATAGCAGTTGCATAACCAACACTTTTTTAAAGTTTCGAAATGATAGTTTCATTAACAGGCAGTCCCCCAAGAGCAGTTGAGGCGAAGTTTAGCCAAACACCTGTGCGTAGAGTTAATCGTCCAGTTAATAGAGCTGCTCAACTAACACTGCAAACTGAAGCTCCACTGTGATAATCTGGGAAACGCATACTAATGGAAGTTAAATAATCAAGAAATGGAGTATCACGTGTATTAGGTCAATTCGCACCCAAATCACCCCAGCCCATGTCATGAGTCATTATCAATACGATATTGGGACGAGAGCCAGCCAAACGCTTCGACAAAGGAATAATGTCGGGAGTAATGCATAACAGTAAGGGTAAAACTAGCCACAATGAAGTAAAGCTGAGATGTCGTAATGTAACGATGAGAATCATGGCTTCATATTTTAGCTGAAGAATGTAATAAATGATAAAGCAGAGTCGTGTAAAAAACGCGCATCAGAATGTTTATTTTGTGCTGTAATCATTTTCTTCTTTAACCTAAGTAGATAAAATACAATAGAATCAAGGTGACCGAGACAAAGAACGTTTCGGCGGCAGGTAAATGTTTTTTTTCTGTAAGAGCATATGTGTCGGCTTACACTTTGTAACACCATTCAATGAATAATTTTAAAAATCCTCGATAAATAATGTTTAATGTAGTTCTACACACACACACGAAATAAAACTAATAAGACACAGAGTCGTAGACTGACATAAATTTATACTTTTATACTCTCTCTCAGAAAACTGAGTTCTCTCTAAAAAAAAAAGGTGTCATACTGAACCTATTTTTGGATTCTAATCAGCAAGTATAGAACTTCAAAAAGATCATTATAACACCCTTTTTTTCAGAAAGTATGTCATATCACATAGGATGAAAAAATCTTTTTGGAAATGAATGAAGAATTGTATTTGAAAAGTCGATGGTGCCTTCTTCTTTTTCACCACTCCTTTGTTTTCTAGTTAGAAGATGGAATAATCGGGAATAGTTAGAGTGTGAATATTTTCAACATACATTTTTTTGTTACATATTCGGAATCCTTGTATGAGAATGTGATTATAAAAGAAATTAGAGTGACTTTTTGGCTAAAATGACAGAGCTACAGACCTTTCAAAGTTTAAAACTCTAACAACTGAAACAGTGATTGAGGATGAGTAGAAATGAAAAATTTTAAAAGTTCAAAATAAGTCATCTTAGGCTGAAGACGCACGGCGGGAAACGACCAACTATGATGGATTTCCAGAAGCAGAATTCCGATATCGGGTTCCGGTCATCGTTTTCTACATAGTTTCTGCCTATTGCTGTGCTCGAAAACGATACTCGGATAGAGTTGCCATTTCCAACATGCTTCCTAAATACGGACACGTTGTTTTATCACGGGTATTTGCTTTGTTAGACGTTTTTGCGTTTCATTCATGTAACACTTATGAGCAAAAATAGACACAAAAATATAATTATTCATTAAAATATGAATTACAAATCGGTCAAAATCATACAAGTTCAATCGACTCAAAATCATTTTTAATCAAGAAAAGTCAATATAATTTATTTTAGACGGATTATCTTGTATATCGCTAGAGAGAACAAAGCGAGGTCTCTCGTTTGATGTACATTTTGATATGAAGTTCTTAGAATCGAAGGTCGAGTTTCTTCGAACATTTACCAAATAGACAAAGTGAAGAGGACTCGGCTCGCTTTCTGGATAGAAAAACTTCTTTTTCTCGATGATTTCTTTTTAATCGGAAATTTCTCGATTAAGTTGTAGAAGCGTCTCGAACAATGGATGAAAACTTTGGTGTGTGAATTCATTTGTTGAAGTTCGACTGAAATTTCTTGGTATGACCCTTCGCAATTTCTTATGGTGGACAAATGAGTAGCGTTCGAACTTTGGTTCAATTGACGGATGCGATATGAAAGAATGGCCTCTCTGTATTTGCTAATTTAACTCTATTTGTTTCGTCCGATTACGATATGCTGCCATTTCGTAAGAAACAATTTGACGTTCATCGGTAAGGAAAAGATGCTAAAAATAATCCAAATAAAACCATTTCAAGTATAGAGGTATTGAAAGAGATAATATAGAACGGCACTTGCTTCTTATAAAACAGCAGGAAAGATTATAACGCTTGCCAGAATTGTTCTAGCAGAAGAATCCAATGGGTAGTCAATTATCAATACGTGTGCTTACTTGCTATACTAGGAACCATCTGACGTTCAACATCATGTTCTAACGTCTCTCTGTCTAGGATTTCCAATCGAGCATTCTTTCTGCAGATGGCTAATCCTTTTCGACAAACATGACCAGCATCGTTTATTATCGCAGATTGGAGAAAGCGATTTCAACAACGATATCAATACAATCGGCCTCGGCTCTTTGCTTCTTTGCCTGATTGATTTTCGCTTCGATATGATTAACTTCAATTTTCATTGAGTCAGACAACGAACACAATTTATTTGTAACATTATCATGATGTCTGCTACAAAAAAGTGTGATATACACAGGTTTGCTTCTATAAACAGGAATCCTACTATTTCCTTCCTATCAGAGAATACTAAGGGCAGAGTTTTGTGGCTTTTGCAGATCCGCACAGTCTGTTATATCCATATAGTGTCGATGAAATGTGACGACATTGCGGAAAGTATGTCTGAGTTTCTCAGTTCTTCCAAAATAAGCATGAAACGCTGTTTTTGTTTCCTCCAGTTTCGTAAAATATTGTCTAAACTCAATCGAAAGACCATAACTTGAACATCCGCCGCTACGAATTACTATGATCTAAAATACTTAACTTAATATTTAGCCGTACGATATACTCATTCGTAGATGCAGCCATTAAAGTTCAAGTTTTTAAATTTATTTACTTTAATTTTCATTATTTTGGTTAGGGAATGAATTCTATAGAATTCAAATGCGACTAAAAACTATCAAGTATCACAACCGAACGAAAAGTATAAAAGTTAAGAAATTTATTTATCTTTGATTTTGGTTTTAAATTGAAAGTAACGATTTCGCTTTAAGTTTACAATGAAACCTAGAGGACTATATATAGTATAAAGTCATCACTGAATAACAAGTTATTTAAATAAAGTGATTCTTCTCATTTGATGCAACTTGGAGCTTAAATATTCTTTTTAAAAAAATTTGTTAAATGTGAAAATTGTCATATCCTAATTTTATTTATGACTAACAATGGAGAAAGAATAAATCTTTTTTTAAGTTCATATGATTTCATGGACTGATTGCGATACAAATAGATATTTTCTCGATAAGAAGTCACATGACAATGAAACAGAACATTCAATGAACCTGTGTAACTCGGTAGTAAATTCTCAGCCTTCTGCTCTCTGGGAACTGTGATGGAATCTCATCTTATGCATTTTATTCAATGACTGAAAGTTATGTTAAATTGAAGTGAATATGTCATATTGTTACAAAACCGGATCAATACCATAACTGAGAGGCAACTTTTTTTCGTTAAGGAAACAATTTAGAATACTTGTAAGCGCGTCTACACGCGTTTCTATAATAGAACACATT